GCAATATTGTCAAATGCTTTCATGTCATGCGCACGCCATTCCAGCGTCATCTCAGCTTCCGACTTTGTTTTCATCACGTGATCCCGTGGTATCTTCCATGCAAGCTCCATTTCCATGTTGAGCGACCAATGAAAATAATTTTCATTGCCGAGTAAGTCTGTTAATTTCTACATGTTGACTTCAATTTTGTGCCTTGGGCTCATAACCTGACACTTAAGTGCAGGTGTGGGATCAAGCAGAAAACTGAAAGTGAATATATCAAACTGTTAGATTCCGGTTCATCAATCCAATTACATCCAGTCTAAAAGTTACATGCACATGCTTGTAGTTGATGTTGACGTTGTACGTTCACAATTATTTTTTTTCTTTTACCAAAGGGAAATTTTTTTCTTCTTTGATCAATATGGTAGACCAGTTGTCTATCATTGTTACATAACACGCTATACACTAGAATGACAACCGCTTGGTCGTGGTTGTTGTTGCAGTTGCAGTTGATGTTAACGTTGATATTGCACCATACCCCTATAAACATATACTTTATCGAATATTTGCATGTGCTAGAATTTCACAGTATGTGCAATAATGCTACTACGAAGCTTGGTAATGATCATCTCTCAATAAATCGCCCTGGTTCTCAAATATCTCAACACAATATTACAAACTCATGAGCTGATTTCCGTCATCAAGCTGCTGCTGGTTTGACCACTCATCTGATTCAACAAAATTGTCATCATAGTAACAACGGCACTCGCTGCCGTTATACTGAGGAAAAACATGTATGTCAGTTATATTGTACGATTCACAGTTTTCATGCAGTTTTTGACAAATATATCAACACAAAAAAGGAAAAAGGAAGTAAGTTTATTTGACTCGTTAAACTAGGCAAAAACTTTTCGAATTTTGTACCAACAGCAGAAAAGAAGACTTGTCGGGCGCGATCTATTCCAAAGAGCTTTACCAAAGCGTCAAAGTTTATCCTTCTTGCATGTTTTCCCTGGAATGGCCAACTGTGTTTTTTAAAGCGCGAAATAAAACTGCTGTCCGTCGTGACCGCTTCAAGAAACTTCTTGTAAAAGTCTGCATCTTTGAAGTTTCCTTCTCCCAAATGCTTTTCCATAATTCCTCCAATTTTCTGCACTGCCTGCTCGTGACCGGAAGAAGAACGAGTCTGAACCCCGGCAAGCCAGTTGGGCATTCGTTCTTCCTCATGAGCTTCAGTTCGCAAAATATCGCTTAATGCAAGCTCGACAATCGACAAGAGCAGTGTGACAACCAGCAGATGAACTTGGTAGCTCTGCATTGTTCGGAATAAGAGACTCGGGCACTGGAAGGAAATTTGAAGAATGAACCTCAAAAGCGATTTTTTGCTTTGATCCTGCATACAGTAATTTTTATAAATTAAACACATAAGAGATCTGTTGCATCTCGACGTACTGTGACATATGTAAAACGGCGGCCATTTTCTGATCGCAAAAGCCTCTTCATGCACGAGAAGAAGGGCCGATGTTAAAGAACATAGTCGCGAAAGGAGTTCGTCGTAACGTGCTAATTGTTTCGTATTGAAAAGCTTACGATGTGCGCTCATATCTTACGATTTCACTCTCCATTTCTATGTCAAACTGCGTATATGGATGTGCCTTGATAATCAGCAGTGATGTGTAGTATGGTAACGAACACACGATGATAAACGACTTTTAAATCGGAAGCGAATCCGATGCAAGCTATAATTACTTTGTATGAACTGTTCTTGGCCAATTATTTGGGACCCTACCGGTACTAAGCGCTACAATTACCGGAATTGAATTTAGTAATATAAAACACCCTGAAATCCCATTCTCAACATACACTAAGTAGTTCTTACCGCTTCAACCGTTCGCCACCTGGCAATGGTAAAAGCTGTCTAGAAAGGTATGCGAATTATCCTCTGATACTTGTAACTGTTGACATGGAGTGCAGAAAGTGACGTTTTTGGTGAAGTATTTACTACATAGGACGATCCAACGAAAAATTCCAGGGTGTCGATCTTCCAACAGATCTCATATGTCGATCGAACAAACCACGAACGTTACCATAGACGATCCCTCTAAATTCTTTTATCGTCTTGTCCACTAGACTGAGATGTGTTGGAAACCATGTGGTTTCGAACTACCTAGATGACGGCTTTCACAGTGTCCTCGTTTTCGGTCGCAAATGATACTCGGTGTGGTGATGATACACCCTTTTCTTATCCCCAGATACCATCCATATGCAGGATCTCACCGAAAATCGTCTGTTAAGGTTCATTCTTTAAATATTCGTGCAGTGCCAGAGTCTCCTCTTCTTAACAATGTAGCGGTACGAAGTTCATCTGCTGGTTGTCACACTGCTTTTTCGATCGTCGAGCTTGCATTAAGTTAGATAGTGTTCAATGCAGCTTTATCATGAACAGATCAAATGAATCAGGAAAGGAGTGTATTCGCAGTAAATCTCAAGCTAATTGAGCCTTAAACTCAACAATGCATCATTCATATCGGGCAGATATGTTTGCGCCGCTTTAGATATCTTCTTATTCTGGTTACCAATCGCAGAAAGGTACCCGACCTCGTCTCCGAACACGTCTCTTATAGCGTCAAAGGCTTTCATTTTTGCATTCACTTCTCCAAACAATGCCGCGAGAATCGTCAAGCGCAAGACAAACGCGGGGGTCTTGTACGATTGCCTTGACAATTTCTTTTTGTTTGATAGGTTTCGATCGAAACCACGTTTGTAGAATCGGTAGTACCACCTTAAACTTCATTCGATTTCCAGGGGTTCGATCCTAAAAAATGTTCTACAAAATGGTGGAGGGGATCAATGTGAACGCGCATAAGTGAAAATAGTCATTTTGGCACAAAGATAAAATCCAACATGCTTACTTCTCACATCGGATATCGTGAATCCACTTAAAACCATATTATCATTGTTTGATACAAGTGCAAAATTGTCCGATACAATAGCAACAGCAATGTTGAATACGGTCACGCAATGATTCATGTAGGCATTGAGAAGCAACTTTGCTTTCTTAACAGAGAATAATTTTATGCAATGCATCCTTATAATGCATATAGAGATTTCAATCAGAATCGTATACTCCGCAACAATGTACATACCCGCTTTCTTTGACATCATGGTGTAGGCAGGTGTGTTTCCAGAATTTATGGCTGCAACTTTTTATATTCTGACTATCGCTATCGCATTCTCATGTCTGTGAGCACCTAAAGAGCATTAAATGTATGATTACTGGCTGTTCCAGCCACGTACTGACTTCTATCTTGAGTGTTACCACACCATTGTGAGGGCACACCATCTTGTTTAAGACGCGCCATTGTGTGATCACATCATCTTGTGCGATCCACACCCTTCATATTACAGTCCCTCACTTCACCAACATGGTGGTGCTTCTTATCGATCACTATTCTGAAAGCTCGTGCTGCCTCTATCGTTGTTGCTACCATCTTCTTTGTTGTTGTTGCTAATTACGTCGTCGCGTTGGCTTGTTGGGAGCAGCTCCGACAAGATTGTCGTATCAGAATCATCTGCAAAGATTTATGCTGGTCAATAAAGGGTCGTCGCTCTGCTTTACCAGACACCATATTCAATACCTCTCTGCCTCTTCCGAATCTTCAGCCTGACAATAATCAGGGCTCATGCCCCGTTGAGTCACCAGGCGACAAATTATCCTGCTGAGTCAATTATAACTTCTGGGCTGCGAAATTGGCTTTAATTGGTTGGGTCTGTAAGTCTTGGAGCTTTAGCGCATTATCGTGATTCAATTGAGTCACCTGGCCACTCGAACAATGGCGAGTGCTGATGTGGCTGCCTGAGCAGCTGCCCGGTAGCATCCAACCTCACACCTTTGAAGACGACTATATATTTAATCACGCTACCTTTTCTCGCAATAAGATTCGTATCAAAAACGTTAAAATGCTCGTGTGAGCTTTCTGCACTTCTGATGACCACCTCTTCAGCTGGGCTTTAACTCTCACTCACCCGTAATGAGTTTAGAAATAGATCATCAGACGATCTCACAAGGTAAAATACCTGTGACGGCTGCGTACGACCATAATCGCGAAGTGGTCATGGCGATAGCTTGATTGTCACTGAATCGTTCTCCCGACAATACTTCTTCAAAACTGGATCGGATTCATATCTTTGACAGAAAAGCTGTATCGGAATACTACTGTAATCTGTGTACATGCACAATACACTTTTGTGCAATGGTAAAAACCCAATGCGTATTGGTACTGGTGAAGACGATGGTATACCCTAACTAGAAGCTTCAAGACATATTCAATATATATCTAAATATATGTTACCATCGACAACAAAAAAGCAAACGAGGTATCTAGATACTTTAAAGTCGCCTCATATTCTGTGCGTCAGCTAACGTAACATATTGAGTAAATGCTTTCTCTACGCGCGATACACACCAACTTCGTCGCAGACGCCAAACAGTAAGGAATGCTATGTCTTCGACTGCTCCGACGTCTCCGCCAATAGCACTTCCTAGCTTGATTGCTAACAATCACCGTTCGTAAAGTTTATCACAGCCATCACCAGGTTCACCGACGACAATATCACGGCTACTCTCATCTTTACCGACACTTCTACCGCAGCTCCGTGATTGATGCGTGGTGGAAAACGAGATAAAATTGCGTGGTAAATGAACTAGCAATTCCATGCGGTCAGCTTAAGCTGCCGAAATGTTGCTGAAGCTCTGTGGCATGAAAAATCAGCGGATGCCGCGGTCAAAGAACCTCTGAGCCACTCACTGCCATCTAGTGTTCGTGCAGTCGCCGCAACATATGAAACTATGTTATAGCAAACGAGGAGAATGTTGAAGATAAAAAGATCGGACAGAAGATAAGTAGTTAAAAATGCACGTCAAGATCAAAAGGGAGCAAGCTGAAACAGCAGACAGCATTAGAGCTATCGGTGATCGTCTACAATTTATCGAAAGCGGCAGAAATAGCTACATTTTTGAGATTCGAGTTTGAATTTGAAAAACTGGAGCAATCTCAGCCTGAAGCGCATAATTAAAGTCTCTTGCAGTACTTTTCACTAGTCAGTAGCACTACTGGACGAATCATTCTTTAGGTTATATCAACGGCAAACTACGTTAGGTGCGTAGGCTTCATCGTTCTTGTCCTACATGATTATAGATATAATAATCGTTAGTTAGTTCTTTCAAAGAATGAAAACACTAAATATCGATATTCGCTATTTCGACCTCTCTCTCCTTCATCATTCTTTAAGCCCAGTCGTCTCCCCCGCTTACGATGGCGTCTTTCAATACAGTGCCAGAAAAAGTCAAGCGTCCACGTACGTCTTTTACGAATGCACAACGTCTTCAGATCTGCAATTATAAAGACAAACATCCGACACTTAATTGGCCACGACAAGAAGCTCTTAATCTTCCACGTAAACCTTCACAAGCGATGATTTTAAAGTTCGAAACGAAAACTTAATTTTGAGACGATGACAAGTGAAATGTTAACATGAAAATCTCGTCGTACCGTGCGATATCCACACTTGGATACAGCGCTCGCTCGATGGGTTGCTTACTGTGAAGAGACTGGTGTTCCAGTCACTGGGGAAGCCATTC